TAATTAATTAATATTTGTTATTATTTAACATATTAAAATCACTAACTTTTATTTTTAAATAGTATACGAACAAGAATTTGAATGGCAAATCGAGATATCAAAAAAGAATGTACTGCATACACCTTAATTATTTGAAATTTTATGAAAAAGTAAACCCTACACAACTGCACTAAACAGCTATACTTTATCTGCATTCGCCGAAGGGAAGGTGCATTACACATTTTCCCCTTCTACCTTAACATTTTAAGAAAAATGAAGGGAAGAAAGAAAAATGCTTCATACAACTGTACGCATGTCTACGGAGAGGGAAGGAAGCAAATATTTATTTAACGTTGATGTATAGAGAAGAGCATAATATGTTGAAATTGGCTGCACTAGCTATTTTCTATAATGACCACTCAGCCAATCTTTAAATCCATGTTATTTTAGACATACTCCAACCCAATCCATATTAGTTTAAATAATAAATTTAGAAAAAATGAAAAAAGAATCTGAAACCTTCAGTGTTTTGTTTTGACTTCTAAGGGCCATATCCAGACATTAATACCTGTTGAGGCCAGATCTCTTTCTAACACATCTAATAATAAGTTACACAACAAAAGACAGCTCTTTCCTCCCCAAACCTCCCTTTACCCATCCCATGATTTGAACTTAAGATTTCTAATATGAATACTCAAGCTCTTAATCATTGAAATCTTTTTAGAGGGCCTTGTTGAGGTCACGGTGGTTTAAGTAAAAGAAGCTCTTCTTATCAGAGGGTGCTGATGCGACTGGCAAAGGAGAGAACCCAGAGTAGTCCTTCTCCATCTTTGCGTAGCATATGTCAACAATGTACCTCAGAAGTTCATGTTTTCTGACAAGGGGATTTGCTGCATATTCTTCTAATGGCATCCACTGCAGTCAATTAGAAGAATATGCATAAAAGGGGATATGGGGATGCATGGTAGATGGTAACTTTATGTACTATATATTCAATGAGTTCAATGTAGTGTATCTCAATCTTTCTAAATTTTTTTTTTGAAGGACTCGTCTAAAATTCCACCTTCCAATTAATATTTTCAAAAACTAATTGTTGGATTGAAAGTTCTATTCATTTAGATCATGCATATCAATTTTCATATTAATCTAACAATTATAACCTTTTGATAAAAGAAACTATATTTATTAATATGTATTTAATGATATTAAATTTTGTGTAATTGATGAAATGGTTAGATTTACTAGAACAATCTAAAAACTGATATGTATAATCTATATGAATATAACTTTCAACCCAACAGTTAGTTTTTCAAAATATTAATTAGAAAATAAGTTTTTAAACATTCTTCCAAAACAAATCTGAGAAGATGACCAACAAAATACTTTTTCTATATTCAATTATTTATTATCTTGTAGTAGGACTTTGTACTCATTTTTGTAGTTATAAAAAGACAAATCTCTTGAAGATTACCTGTGCTGCCTCTATCTCGGAATCCTGCTTCTGAATGTCAGAGGAAAGGGGTTCCAACTGGCACACAAAGAATAAATCTGACTTCTCAAAGAATGATTTGTGGCTTTGTCTGTGAACAATAAAAGTCAAGGGACAGTAACTTAATCTCCAGGAAGTGAAGAAAACAAACATCAAGCTTTTTTTAAGTGATTTTGTTCTATTTGTCTTGATACATTACAATCAGGTTTTAAAGGAGTAACTGGCCCCAGCAAAAATCATTTACACAGCCATCAAGCTAATCTGTTGTGCAGGAACAGCAATTCTTTCATTTTAGCCCTTAAATATTATCTGAACATGAACAAGATCCGAATAGATTTGAGGAAGCTTTTATTACGACATAGAAAATGAATTAGCCAAGGCAAACTTAAAAAAGAACTCATGTAAGGTAAGATAAAAAGTTCAAGCTTGTATTTGATTTCACATCACAATACTGATCGTAAATGAACCTGCTCTGATAAGACATACCTGAATGCTAGGACTTCAACAAATTTGGTATCAATCTGAATCAGCAAAAGACCCAAAATGCAAAAATAGATAACCATTAATACACCATACCACATAAACTCAAAACTACTACTAGCACCAAGTAACTAATGTAAAATTGAAGTATGAATTTGCAATCTTTACTCACTGCTGTTTCTTCTTTGACTTCTCTAACTGCAGCAGCACAGATATCTTCACCCTGGAGATGATAAAGCACAACTTGATACACCCTATACTGTACAAAACTTATATGGTAAGGTGCCTTGATGTGCATACCTCGTTGACAACTCCTGTAGGGAACTTCCACAAGCCTGTACCATGAAGAATTCCACTGTTCTCTTGAACCACTAAAACCTGTCAGCAGATCTTGTGAACCAATAATGTTTTATGATAATAAACATACTCAGAGTCCAAAATAAACTTTCAGGGAAAAAATGGAGTCTCTATGGCAGCAGCATGGCTAGTATAGGTTTCTCAATATCATAGACCCAACAATGATTGATCCTAAACCATAGGGTATATGGAGGGCTGACCAATCTCCACTCACCTAACCAGGGATCAAATCCCTTGGTGCCTCCTATCCTTTCCCCAATAGTCCCCAATTCCACAAGTTCAAAAAGAAAACAATAATTACAGGTAAGAAGTAAAAATGAAGTCATTGTGAAGTGAGAGACAACTAAATATGGGTCTAAAAAGAGAATAAAGTGAAGGAACGAGATATCATCTCCAAACAAGAAGAGAGCACGATGCATAAATTAAAAACAAGCAATTATATGCACCCACAGCATCAGCTGTTTTGGTTGAGTGCACCATCTCCATGGCCTTGACCATGGTTCAACTCCCAGGTCTAACTTTAACCTTTTAAAATGTTATCCCCCTTTCCCCAATTCCCCAATGTTCAAAGAAAAAGGCCAATCATACCCACGTGAATCCAATAAGTATGACAAACAGTCTGGTCTCTGGTGCATTTTACATGAGAAATGTGATTAGCTAAAAGAAAGGAGTGAGACCAGCACCTCTTAATAAAATTGAAGAAAAAATAAGGTACGTACCTCTCTCTTTTCATTTATGACGACTGCCCCAACCCCAACTCGGTGTGATGCATTTGCTGGAAGAGTGTTAGGACTTTCAGGAATCCAATATGCAAGCATTAAGTACTTTGCCTCAGCATGATGATACCAAAATCCTTCCTGAGCAGCAACATGATAGACTAAAAGTTTAAGGATAGGAACAATAGCATCATTCTAGAAACCAACTAATTTTCCAACAGAACTTCTTGCAAGACACCATAACTACAATATAGAGAGCGGTAAAAGTCAAACCTTAACAGCAACTTCCACCAGGTTGACATGTTCAATTGGCAGTTTGATCCAAACACCCTTTTTCCCCTGCAAATGAATTATCATGTAAACAATTGGAATCTATTTCATGTATATACACACAAATTATTAATCATATACAAGACAATACCCTTCATCTACAACTAATGCTGCAAGCACTCCAAGCCACAGAACTCATTTATGGAAGAAAAGGTAAATCTAAAGAAACCTAATTCATCCTAAATAATTGGGATGAAGTATCATGGAGAGTTGAGTTCAATTACTGAAAGGAAATAAACTAGAAAAAAATCAGAATAATTAAAAGTCAACGACTACTCAAAATCTCAAATGCAAAAACTCGAAATATATCAATTGTTGCCAACACAGAAAGGATAAACAAACAAATCCACCCTCCTGCGTTTATTAATCACACATGAAACTTATTAAGAATACCTGCAGCCGCCACTGATTAATTGAAGCTCTGAGAAGGGACACAAAAACTGCAGATTCCATAGGCACTTTCATTTCCACGATGACACCGCCATACCTATCATTAATTGCATCAAGCAATTTAGCTTCTCGGACTTCACTTTGACCCATCACAGGCTTTGAAGAACGGGCTGAAGCTGACATACCCCTGATGCAAAACCCAGCTTCAACTCTCACTCCAACACCTGAGGAACAAACCCCAGATTTTCAGATTTGAAAAGTTCAATCCTTTATCTGAAAAGATTTCAACTTTCACTGAAGGATTGGTAATTTTAACACAGGCACTAAAATCAAACAAAATTCTTAGATGGTACCAATCGAAGGAGAAATCTTTCTGCCTCTAAAACAAAACAACGCAGGCGCTATGAGAGATTTGATCATCATAAGATTATATTATTAAAATAAGTTGAAACTTTCGGTCGGGTTTGAAAGACGCTTCACAATTTTCCTTACCTGGCATCGGTTTTTTTTATTTTTTTTCTTTATTTAAAAATTATTTTATAGCTTAATACAAACTGTAAAATAATACAGTTTTTGTTTTTTGGTAATGGTAAGCGCACTCGCCCCTTGCACTCGCCACATTTAATTAAGGTTAAATGGTGATTTTGGTCCCTCAACTTTTGTCCTTTAATTTTTTTTTTACTTTTTTAATCCCTAAACTCCCAAAACTACACAATTTTGATCTTTCCATTAGTTAGTCTTGCTAACTCAATCCACATAGCATTTTCTTTATTTCTTGTAATAACATGTTAATG